GGTATGTGAGATGTGACTAAAGGTAAAAAATGCTTTAAAATGAATTTGATGATGAAACAGAAACAGACCTAAAACCTACCTGAACAAAATACAAGCAAAAGGAAAACCACCTTGAGACATATAACGGGAGAGTTAAAGCTAAACAATAGAAAGTAAGAGATAAAAGAATTAAGTTTGGAATGAATTGCTGACTCAGCGGAACTAAATTGAAAGGTGAAAGGAACCCTTCTGGCACTAGTAGTTTCCATTTGGTGTTGGGGGACTTGGAGGACTTGTTAATCCCCTGCAGTCTCAGTGTTCTTGGGTATCTCTGTAACTGTGGGAGAGGGAGGCCTACTTCTCAGGTATTCTCCAGTACCAAAGCAGTCTGTCATCTCTAGGGGATGTTGTTTGTTTTTGTTTTAAGTTTTTGAGAAGTGTCTCATACTGTAGACTGAACTGACTAGGACATCATGGTGTAGCCCAAATCTTGAACTTATGGTGATCCTCCTGCCTCTGCCTCACAAGTGCTGTGGTCATGGGCAGGCACCATCATGTCCAGTTTGTGTCACCTGTCCTTGTGTGAGAGCTCACACTTCACCCACAATAACCCTCTTTCTGGAGGTCCTCCCTTTCTTCCAGGTTGTCTGGAGGTCATTTCCTTCTCCCTCCCTTCTTGCTTCCATGTCTTTTACCCCTCCTTCTTAGGACCTCACTCACCCAATTCTAATATCTGGTAATTATTAGAGATAATAGACAATCCAAATCTCTACCCTGATCAAATCCCCAATTTCCCTTTAAAAATGATTTAACTTATTATGTATACAGTATTCAGCCTGCATGCCAGACAACCAGATCTCATTATAGATGAGCCACCATGTGGTTGCTGGGTATTGAACTCACAACCTCTGGAAGAGCAGGCAGTACTCTTTGTTATGTTTTTGTTTAAATTAGATATAAAGAAAAAGAGGAAAAGAGGCAGATGAGACATGTTAACCAGTTTATTAGAGGCACATTAAGCAGTTTATTATAAGGCCCGGCAGAGTAGGGAGACTAAGACAGAAGAGGAACAGGGGTAATTAATGGCTGACCGCCATGGCCAGTCGCCATAGAGAGAGAGAAGAGAAGCAGAAGCAAACAGAGTGAAGAAGTGGAGAGAGTAGAGAGAGAGCAGCAGGGAAGTTGGGACTTTTAAAGGGAAGACTGCACTGAGGTTCCATGCATGCCCAGAGTCCTCACGCAGGCTGTAAATGCATGGCGGGTGATGTGGTGATGGCATGTCCCTGTGTGTGCCCTGACTGTTGTCAGGGGGCAGGATCTGTCTCTTAAAGAGGTAGAGCTGATCAGCATTAAAGCTTGAACCTTTCACTCTTAACCTCTGAGCCATTTCTCCAGCCCTCCAACTTCTTTTTTAAATTTATTTTGAGACAGGTTCTCAACAAGTTGCCAGGCTGCCTGGCCTTGAGCTCAGGCTTACTCTATAGTAGAGACATGCCTTGAACACATTCTCTCTCTCTCTCTCTCTCTCTCTCTCTCTCTCTCTCTCTCTCTCTTTCTCTCTCTCCCACCACAGCCTTGGCTAGGCACCTATCTGGCTCTGCCTCCTGAGTACCAAGATTCAAGGTGTGTGTCATCACACCCAACAGGTTCTAATTTTAAACGCAGGTGCTCACTCGCTCTACAACTCAAGTGATTTCGATAGGCTTCCACAAATTTAAAAATGGTGTCCCCTCTATAATAGTGGTTACTGCCTATAATATGTAACTTATTAACCCACACGATTTGTGGGATTCTCATCCAAGTGCTCACAAATGTGGAGAGAGTGCTGTAAGTGTAAAACTGTATCCACATCTCTTTAGTGCATTTTTTTTTTTTTTTTTTTTTTTTTTTTTTTTTTTTTTTTTGGTTTTTCGAGACAGGTTTTCTCTGTGGCTTTGGAGGCTGCCCTGGAACTAGCTCTTGTAGACCAGGCTGGTTTCGAACCTCGGGAGTGCTGGGATTTAGGGCCTGCGTCACCACCACTGCCCCACCTCTTTGGTGCATCTTATCTTAAACATCACAACTATTCAGGGGAAGGCTGGGTGGGAGCATCCCCTAGCGCCACAACTCTTGTATGGTTCTTTCAGACTTTGAACCCGGTGCTCTGGTGCAACCTGGAACCCTGACCCGCTGAGCCTGGATCAGGAGCTCAGGCTGGAAACAGTCCTGACACCTAGGTTTCAGGTTTGCAAGCTGGATGGGCACTGGAGTTCGAGATGCTTACCCACCACCAGCTTGAGATGATGCTACCTGTTCAGCACAGAGAGGTGTCATCTCATTCTGGGATGCTAGAATGGAGTGGTGGGGTTGTCTTTGTCTCAGCATGTAGCTCCAAGATGCCCTAGCCTGAGCTCTGGGAAATACTCTATAGTGCTCCATTGCTCAGGCCTGGGGTCCTGTGAGCTCAGACACTGCTGGCTCTGGGACCTTACTCTGTGCAAGGTGCCAAGTTAAATTAGGACATGGATCCCTGAGACTTAAGTTTCAGATGGTTGTGAGCCATGATGTGGTGCTGGTAAAAGAATGGCTTTTCTCCAAGAGTGCCGAGCTCTTAACCCAGAGCCACTTCTCCAGTCTCTAGGGTTTTAATTTTTTTTTTTAAAGACAGGTTCTTTTAGGGCCTGGTATGGTAACACACAATCTCTAAATTCAGGCCAGTAAAGGAAAAAACAAAAACCCAACAACAAAAGGGTCTGGGGAGATGGCTCATCCTTTAAGAGCACTGGCTGCTCTTGAAGACTTGATTCAACTTCCAGAAGGCACAGGGTAGCTCTCAACAACCTGTTAACTCCAGTCCCCGGTGATCTGACGCTTTTCGGGCTTGGGTGTGTAGCCATACATTCAGGTGATACACCCACACACATAATCTTAAAAGAACAAAATGAAACCAGGTTCTTGTTATGTGGTCCAAATTGGCCTCTGGCTCAAGTGCTGCACATGTGCTATCAAGCAAAGCCAATGGAAACAGGGCATTCAAAATGTGAAATCCTTTGCTGAAGAGATGCTGGGGATTGAACCAGGGACCTTACACATAGTAGGCAAGAGCGCTAATCCCCAAGTACACTCCTCCCAAGACCCATTTACACTGTGGGTGATTATCACACAGCTTTTTGTTTTATAGGGGTATACGTTTTGAGTCAGGGTCTCACTATGGAGCCCCGGCCTCTCAAACCTGGGCCACTGATGCTTAACTTCAATGGTTTCTTTTCTTGCCTTGCTGTTGCCTAGGCTGGCATGCGACTCGAAATACTCCTTTCTTAGCCCATGGAGTAGCTAGGACTGCCAAGTTTCTAGCTGTAAAGGAGAGAGTTTATTGTATATAAACTGGAATACATGTTGAGTGATGAGCTCCTTCATTCCCTAGCAAAGTCAACAGACAGACACAGTCAATCTTCAGCACTGCAGGAAACTAGGTGCTCTGGAATAGCTCCCTGGGTTCAAGGCCAGCCTCATCTACAGTGATAGCTCAAGAAAAAACAAAACAAAAAATCCAGAAAGCTGAGAGATGGTGTACATTTTGGTGAGAAATACTAAAACAGACCAATTAATGTTCAAAGTTTCTACCTTCAAATGCCAGCATAAACCTCTAAACACAGTATGTGGGAAGACCAATACAGGAGGGTCCCAAGTTCCAAACTAGCCTGGACTACATAGCAAGACCTTTAAAAACTGAAAAGTGACAACAAGAGAGCACACGTGTTTGGCATTAAAAACAAGACCAAAAGAAAACTTAAGGCTTTATTTGTAATGATGTGTGGGCTCAATGCCACAATTAGACGTTTCAGACAGGTAGAAATATGGCAATTTCATAGGCAATTGGGGGGGGGGTTCTATCTTTGGCTCTTTTAGCCTTCTCATATAAATCTTGTAGTACAGCCAGGTACATTCAAGTGAGTGGCTGCCATGCTTGAAAAAAGGTTTTATTTTTGTTGTTTTGAAATTAGTTGTTTTTTCTACCTTTGAGATTATAATGAACATGGTCACCACAAGAAAAGTCAGAAGTAAGACAGAACACTCTGAATGCTAGTTTGATCACTGATCATTAAAATTAAGTTCAAATAAAAACAAATTTTTCTTTAAAAGGGGCAGCGGCAAGGCCTTGCAAGTTTGGGCTCATTTTTCCCTCCCTTGTAGATTCCGTCCGTGGTTTTGGTGGCGTGGTGAACAGCACATGCCATCTGTGGGTAGCACAGTTGCACTGTCCAGTGTGGGAGCATGGGCCTGCCTCTCCAGGTACAGGTGACCAGACCACATCGAGATTCTAGGACAGGAAATGACTAGATCACAGCAGTCTTTCAAGCTTAACTTTTCCTTTGTTGCTTTCTGGATATCCTCAGCAGCCTCCCTCAGCCTCTTGCTGTTCACATCATCCTCAGCATAGTCAGCTGCCTGCTTCCCCACAGCTGCCCCGATTTCCACATCCAGCTTCATCCTCACCTCCTTCCTCCTCTTCAGCTGTCAGTGACTGCTCCCCGTGTTCCTCATTGGTATGGCCATGGGCAGGTACTTCTCTTCCATTCTGTGCCTCCTCCTTCTTGTCCTTCGGTGGTGACCTCAGGACTCATGTCCGAAACTGTCTGACAGCAATGGGAAAAAGTTCAAGGTCTTTGCCAGACAGCAGCAGAGGAGACAGGTGGTGGCTGTGGTTGCTGGGATTATGTAGCCAGGACCAGTGAACAATATCAAGATGGCTTTTCAAACAGTGAAGAGCTTAATTTTTATTAAAGAGGAAATATGTAGATGATCAACATGGACTGACATCGATGAATTTTTATTGGCAACTGCTGGCGTAACAGACTTTTCAATTATTTTAAGGATCACCAAGACACATTTTAATTGGGCCCATAATGTATGAAGTAGGCACTCTAACTCCTTTGGAAGCAGATTCAAAACAAAACTATTGTGACTGTTATAATGAAAAGTCTAAAAAGCAGGCCCCCTCCCGGAACCCGCTGACTAGATTCTCTGGTGGTTCTGACTTCTCACCACTCAGGATCTTCAGCTGTGCAGATCTTCAGAGGCACAGAGGCATATCCAGTGTAGAAATATGGCCAAAGTGCACCGCTAGCACAGTCACTAAAATGGCACAGAAGGGACTTATCACTCAAATTGTAAAACGAAACCTCATGCAGGTCAGAGTCTAAAAAAATTCCAACCCTATTAGGCGCTACCTTTGGTAGAAGATCAATTTTCTTAAGGCCCAATCCAATATAATCCTGGCAGCTGGTTAACCCAACCCCCCATAATCCATCCTGCAATGAAAACGGTTGTTGTTCGTTCTTGCTCCTGTCCATACTCCTGGGGAAAGGCTCTTTACAGACCCCCAGGAACCAGTCACACATGTGTTCTACAGCTACCTCCCAGTATTGTCTGCCAGAGCTATATCCCTCAGACCCCAGAACAATGGGGTACATGTGGAATCTTCTCTGGTTATTTGGCAACTCTTTCATCTGCCCATAGAGCACAGCTTTTTTGTCTTCAGAGACATCAAGTCTACAATGTGCTGTTTCAGGATCTAGAGTGACATCAACGTGAAATTGCTTGATGATTCTGTCCAAGCCAGAATACTGTGGAGGAAGCACGAGGCTACGCACTTTCAGTTCGAAGAAGACTATCCTGGGGCATTCTAAGTTTTTGTTTCGCTTGTAAACATCTTTCACACTTGCCAGCAATTCCAGTTCTGACTTAGCACACTTTTTCTCTACCTCCATCAACAGACACTTTAATGAAGACATGTGTTCTGAGAAATTTTCTAGGTTTTTATTCATTTTGGCTAATGCAATCACCTTTTCATTTTCTAACTGCTCAAGAATGCTCTTTTCTTCATTCTGGAGAATCAACATATATTGTTGGTATTCAGACATTACCTCTTCTCGTCTGAGGTGTACCCTTCTCTTCAGCTCTAGTGATCTTCTCCTTTGGGTGGCAATGGCTTTTTCGGCTGGCTCCACTTTCTCCCTCCACATTTTAATGTAAAATTCAATTTGTTCCCTAGTACAGAGGGCAGCATCCTCTATGGGCCAAACAAAGTGACTTGTGGGGCTGGGGGAGAAAACCTCTTGGTCCTTCCCACTGCAGGGGGCTGGAGGCTGTGGCCGCATCTCAGAAGAACACGTTCCTTGTGGGCTGTTCCTGATCTTTTTTACTGGGAGCGGCTGGGAGACTTCAGTAGCTTGACTCAGATGTTCATGACTCCAAAACTTCCCTTCTGGACAATTAAAGTGGCAAACAGGGCAGGGGAAACTACCCTTTCGATCCTTCCAGAACTCACTGATGCAGGCATGACAGAAGTCATGCCTGCACCCAATGGTCACTCGGTTTTTGAAGTCTTCCTTACAGATGGGACAGTGGGCCTCTGCTTGGAGGTCAACCTGTGCTGCTTTGAGCTCCATGGAACCTTGCAGTTTTGTGGGAGATGACATGCTGCTTCTGGAAGGCCTGGTCCCCTGCAGCTCAAGACCAGCAAGCTCTGGTTGTCCCTGAGATCTGGACACTGACCAGCTTTTAGATTCACTGTCTTGTTGACAATGGCTTCTGCAAACTTGCTTAGTCCTAGGGACCTTACAGGGGAGAGGGATGAGAATCCAGAACCCAGGCCTGCTGCATATTACCACATGTCAGCTAGGCTGTTGCTCTCCCTGCTCAGTGATCTGTAGGCAAGTCAAGTTTTCTTGCTCAGGAAAGTTGCTCCACACCCAAGAAAATAAATCCTTCCTATGGGAGAGATAAGACATGGGAGTTTAAAAATCAAACGTTGTGTTCAGCAATATATTAAAACAACCACACAAGAACCCCATGTACACAGGACCTGAGACCCACATCACAGGAGGAACCAACTTTTTTTTTCTTTTTCTTTTTTTTTTTTTTTGAAACAGGGTTTCTCTGTAGCTTTGGAGCTTGTCCTGGAACTCACTCTGTAGGTCAAGCTGGCCTCAAACTCACAGAGAACTCACAGAGACCCACCTGTCTCTGACTCTTGAAACTTGCCCTTTGACCTCCATGCCCCGGCTGTGTGGACACATAACCTGTTTAGGGGCACACACATGCACACACTCACTAAATAATTTTGAAAAAATTATGATTGCAAAAACCATTAGGTGAAAGTATGGCACATTTATACTGCAGGTTTAATTCACTATCAATTATGAACAAACTGTAACACAAGGTGGTGAGATGGCCTGGCAGTCAGAGCACTTACTGCTTTTGCAGAGGGCCCGTGTTCAGTTCCCAGTACCCACATGGTGGCTCACAACCACACATAATTCCCACCCACATGGTGGCTTACAACCACACATAATTCCATTTCCAGGGAATCAGAGGCAGCCTTCTGAATTTCAGGGGCATAGGAACACATGTGGTACCCATACATACATGCACACAAACCACTCATGCACCTAAAATAAGTAAATCTAACCTACCGTCAGACAAAACATAACATAAAATCTGGCATTACAAGTCAGGCTTAGTGGGAGGTAGAGACAAGAGGATTAGGGATCAGGCCTTCTAGACTATCAGGTCACAGTGTGGGTTGATTCAAAAAACAGAATAAATAAGAAATTTAAAACAATAACAAAAAAATGGGCATGATCTGGAACAACTAGATTTACATCACTAGGGAGGTAGAGGCGGGATGAGAGGGATCCAAGACAGCTTTGGATACATAGTGAGTTCTGGGACAGGCTGAGATATGATACTCTAGCTCAAGCCAACAAAACACCAAAAAATTAAAAACAAAAAATACCAGCTGGCCGTGGTGGTGCAAGCCTTTAATCCCAGCACTCAGGAGGCAAAGGCAGGTGGATATCTGTGAATTCAAGGCCAGCCTGGTCTACAGAGTGAGTTCCAGGACAGCCAGGGCCACACAGAGAAACCCTGTTTCAAAAAGAGTAAAGACAAAAACAAAAAATCTTATCAGGGCTGACAAGTTGACTCAGTGGTTTGGAAGTACTGGCTATTCTTCCAGAGGACCCAGGTTCAATTCCCAACACCCAAATGGCAGCTCACAACTGTCTGTACAACTCCAGTGGGCTTCCAACACTCTCACCCAGACATTTCTTTTTAAAGATTTTATTTATTTTATTATGTATACAACATTCTGCTTCCATTTATATCTGCACACCAGAAGAGGGCACTGATTGAACTCAGGACCTCTGGAAGAGCAGTCAGTGCTCTTAACCTCTGAGCCACCTCTCCAGCCCTTCATCCAGACATTTTTGCAGATACTTTTTTTTTTTTTTAAGAAATCATTAAAAAATAAATTAAAATGCCAATCAGATCGGGAGACAGCTCAATGAGCGACAGTGCCTGTTCTGCAAGCCTGGCAACTTGAGTTCAATTCCTAGAATACATACAACAGCCAGATGCAGTAGCTTGTCGTTTATAATCCCACCTCCCAGTGAGATACAAGTGGAAACAGGAGGCTTGGCCAGAGTTTCTGAGACGGCAAACTTGGAGTACACTGAGCAGCCACAGAAACAAAGACTCTGCCTGAGGCAATAGGTGGAACTAGAGAAAATCATCCTGAGTGAGGTAACCCAGACACAGAAAGACAAACTCAGTATATATTCACTCATAAGTGGATACTAGATGTAAAACAAAGGATAACCAGGCTAGAATCTAGAGAGATTTTTACCTACAAAGAGAAGCTATGTAAAACGGGGAACCCTAAAAGAGACACACATGGAGGACCCCAGGAAGAAAAATAGTTAAGATCTCCTGGATAACCTGGGAGGCCTCAAGGGTAAAAGGGAGGGTAGTAGGTAGGCACATGAGGGATTGAGATGGCCCAGTTGCATGAAGGACAGAGGGAGAGAGCAAGAAAAAGAGACATCTTGATAGAGGGAGCCATTATGGGGTTAGGGAGAAACCTGGTGCTAGGGAAATTCCCAGGAATCCACAAGGATAACCCCAGCTAAGACTCCTAGCAAGAGTGGAGAGGGTGTCTGAACCGGCCTTTTCCTATAATCAGATTAGTGACTACCCTGATTGTCATTATAGAACCTTCATCCAGTAACTGAGGGAAGCAGATGCAGTGACCCACAGCCAAGCACTGGGTTGAGCTCCGGGAGTCCAGTTGGGGAGGAGAGGTTTTATAAGCAAGGGGCGTGGATCAAGATCATGATTGAGAAAACCACAGAGACAGCTGACCCAAGCTATTGGGAACTCATGATTCTGCACTGACAGCTGGGAATCTGCATTGGACCAAACTAGGCCCTCTGCATGTGGGTGACAGTTATATGGCTTGATCTGTTGAATAGGCCCCTGACAGTGGGACCAGGACTTATCCTGGGTCCATGAATTGGCTTTTTGGAGCCCATTCCCTATGCTGAGATACTTTGCTCAACCTTAATACAGGGGATAGGGGCTTTGGTCCTGCCTCAACTTTGTATGCCAGAGGCTAACCTGGCCTTACTCCCTCTGAGGAGTGGATGGGGGGGGTGGGAAGAGGGGGAGGTTGGGATGGAAGAAGGGGAGGTGATGGGGGAAGTACTTCTGTGTATGTTTATCTTATTGAGTGTTAAATAAAATACTGTTTGGCCAATGAGACAGCAAGTAGACAGGATTAGGAGTCAAAGAGGATTCTGGGAAACGTAGTAGAGAAGTGTGATCCAGGCAGGAAGTGGCATAGCAAGGAGACTCATATTTAAGCGAAGGAGAAACA